GAGCTCCCGGTTGCGGCCCTCTCTTGACACGGGGGGGGCGCTCACTACCTTGGTGCATGCACTCGTAATCTCAAGATTAGACCACTGTAATTCTACATGGGGCTGCCTCTGACGCTGATGTGGAAACTCCAGGTGGTGCAGAATGCGGCGGCTAGACTCCTTAGCGGAGCGAGAAAACACCATCACATTTCTCCTATCCTGGCCGCGTTGCATTGGCTGCCCATTCGGTTCCGCATTGACTTCAAAGTTTTGATGCTTACGTTTAAAGCCCTAAATGGTTTAGGACCTCAATACTTGGTGGAACGCTTACTCTCACCCATTTCTACCCATGTCACACGCGCGAGCCAGGAGGTGAGGCTGAGGAGCCTGATGCCGAGGGAGGCCCAGAAGGAAAGAACAAGAATCCAGGCCTTCTTGGCAATGGCTCCTTGCCTCTGGAACAACTTACCTCCGAAAATTCGCGCGGCTCCCTCACTGGAGAGTTTTAAAAAACAACTGAAAACATGGATGTTTAGGCAGGCCTTCCCCCCTCCCAGTTAATTCTTAACTTTTCTTCTCTTCTTATCTGTTATAATTTATCTTGTTCTCTTGCCATCTTGGAGAAAAATTTCTTTCTTTTTTTTTCTAATTATGTTAATTATGTTATATATATGCTTGTTTTATATGTTATGTTGTAAGCTGCCTAGAGTGCTCGCGGCGAACAGATAGGCGGGGTATAAATGGAATAAATAAATAAATAATAAATAAATAAATATCGGTTAGAGGATTCTGGGAGCTGTGACCCCAAAATGTAACTTCCCGCTGGCCATGGTGGCTGATGGATTCTGGGAATTGTGGTCTCCAGAAAGTTGACCCTTCCAATATTAGTACCCAAATGCTTATTTTGTAAAGAAGGAAATAGGGAGGAAGGGACAATATACTTTTGTTTCTTTAAAGCCAGATTATCTGATCTTAAATGTGTCTTATCTGGCTATTCTGAGAAGAACAGGAAGCTGGTTATTTCTTCCATATTTTCTATTCAGCTCTACTTCCAAACAGACTCAAAGATTAATAGCATTACAGAATGAAATAAAACACTCTGGCATCCTCCCCTCAGCTGAGAGAGTCAAAACAAGACCACCAATACAGGAAAAATCAGCCTGGCCCCCGCGAAAGATACACGTCTGTTTAGTAATATAATAATCAAGTGCCATCAAGTCGATTCTGATTCATGGCGACCCTTTTCAGGGTTTTCCAGATAGAGAATATTCAGAAGTGGTTTACTGTTCCCTTCCTCTGGGGGAAGGGGGCACACCCTGAGACTGTGCAGTTTGCCCATGACAACATAGGCTGGCTCTTCTCCCAGGAGGCACAGTGGAGAATCGATCTCCCAACCTCTGACTCAGCAGCCAGATACCTAAACTACTGAGCTAGCCAGCCAGTTTACATGTCTGTTTAAGATGCACCAATTCATTTTGGTGCTGTGAAAGCACACCCTACATATCTTCTATATTTTTCTTCCACTCTCCTTTCCCCCTCTTGGTTTTTTTCTTTTTAACTTCGCAAGTTTAAAAAATTAATTAGAACTTTTATTGGGTGTTTTTTTTTCAAAGACACAACAGAAGCCTGCCTGTCTTTGACCTTCCCATCGCTAGCTAGCCTAAGTGGGGCTCTGGCAACATCAGAGTCTCCAGGGCACGCTGCTTAGTACAGACAGCGGAGATGTTCTCACAAGCACACCAACTTTGATGTCCTGATGCCAAAACTCAGCTGGACAAGCTGCAGATGGATGAACAAGAGAGGCTTTTAGAAACCTTTCAGTGGAACAGTATTCTCACAAATGTTTCCTTCACTTTTATTGAATTCATGTGAACTACTTTGGGGGGGGGCAGAGTAGTTTACTGGGGGGCAAAAGTTGTATACCCCTATACAACATTCAGCCATTAGCTAAACAAGCCACACATGTTCACGGGGTGTCCCTGGATACCACAAAAGTAGCATTCTGAGCATTAGTGTCAAACAGTAGCATACCTGTACAGTTTCTTCTTTCCCAGAATATTTTCCTATTTGAGTTACTCCACTAATATAGATCCCTAAAACAGGATGCAATGGCTTCACTTCTGTTTCTTGATCATCTATATATAATGTTACATCTGATTCTGTTACTAAAAGACGTATTTGATGCCAGCCTTCATCAAACAAGGTCTAAGGGCAAAAATGAAAGAACAGAGTAAATCGATCTATCTATATTTTATATTGGTATTCTTACACTGAAATACATTAACAGGGTTTCAAGCATTAGTCATTAATTTAAATTGACAATTTTTGCCTTTAAACACATTGCATAGGCAGAAACATTTCTAACCCCATGTAAAGAGGAAACAGTTTGCTGCACTGGACAGAGTGATGGACTGGGATATAGGAGATCTACTGCAGAATCAAGTCCACACTGAACCATGACAGTCACTAGATCCGTGAGGTCCCGTTCTTCTCTTCCATCCTAACCTAAGCTGTGGTCAGGATATAGTGAGCAGGTAGAGAGCCACATATGTAGACTTGGGCTCCTTGGGGGGGGGGGAAGCAGGACATATATATATTTCTAATAAATAAGACAAAAATGCTTTCTTTACCTTTACACGTGGTGCAGTAAATGTAACCGTCTGAGTATCATTTAGTAAACTGGTTGTTGTGAATGATAACGTCCTGTCTTGTCCATTGACTGTAACAGCAATCTGTGGCCTTCCATCCAGGCTTAGAATCCTCCACAAATCCCATGTTTTTCTGACTTTAAACCTCTGACTTGATACAAACAGATATGATGGCGGTAGGCCTTCTGGGAAAACATTCCTGGAAACCAAGTTTTTTTAAAAAAAAGAAGAAAGCATAACCTCTCAAATCAGTACATTATAACAATGTCAACTTGAACTAAGAATACAGCATCCTAAAAGGAAGCACCTTGTCAGTTCTGTCAAATCAACGCGTGAAGTTATCTCATAAGCCTTGGCATTTGTAGATGGGATCTGAATTCTCTTCTTCACTTTTTTTTTCACATCTAAGCCTAGAAGGATATCAAAGCCTTTTTCATCCCGAGCGGCTACAGGTATCCTAGTTGGGCACACCGATTCTGCAAAACACCACAGGGGGAAAAATAACTGTAATTTAAAGAGCAGAACATGTACGGATCATATATACCTACATACACCACATACACATACAGTGGTGCCCTGCTTTATGATTACCTCGTTAAATGACGAAATCGCTTCACGACGATGTTTTTGCGACTGCTATTGCGATCGCAAAACGATGTTTCAAAGGGCGATTTTCATTTGATGGTGATCGGTTCCCTGCTTCGGGAACCGATTCTTCGCATTACGTCAATCTAAAAACAGCTGATTGTCAGTTTTCAAAATGGCCGCCCACTGTGCAAAATGGCTTCCCGCTGTTTTTAGGACAGATTTTTCACTTAACAGGGAGTAGAAAATGGCCGCCCTATGGAGGATCTTCGCTGGACGCTGAGGTATTTTGCCCACTGGAACGCATTGAACTGGTTTTCAATGTGTTTCAATGTTTTTTTTTCCTTGCTTGATGACAATTTTGCTCTACGATTTCGCTGGAACGGATTATCGTCGTCAAGTGAGGCACCACTGTGTATGTGTGTGTGTGTGTGTATATGTATGTATATGTATATATATGTATATATATGTATATGTACACACTACATAGGGTTGGAGATGGCGAGTCGGGGAAATTAATCAAAGAAGATTCTCACACTGACACTAAACAATGGTCATTCACAACACACAAAAATCCTGGTAACACAAACATACTGGGTCTCAGTAAACCAGGGCCTTGCCTCCCATGCGGTGTTGCCCTATAACCTAGTACAGGCTAAAAGCCCCATCACCTACTTTTCATGACATGGAGGATCTTTACAGCTGTGAAAGGGCATGAGAGCCCAGTCCAGATGTTAAGATTAAACCACGGTTTAATGTTACAAGAACTAGCTGCTTTCACGCTCTAGACCAGTGGTCCCCAGAGGTTCTTGGACTAAAATTCCCAGAAGTCTTCACCATTAACTGTGCTGGCCACAATTTCTCAGAGTTGTAGTCCAAAAACATCTGGAGATGAAAGGCTAGAAGTCTTCTAACTGTGCTGGCCACAATTTCTCAGAGTTGTAGTCCAAAAACATCTGGAGATGAAAGGCTAAGAACCACTGGTCTAGACGTTCTTCATGCAGAAGGGCAGAAGAATGGAAGAATCCGCTTATAGTTTTCAATAAACCGATAAGTCTGAGCTCCAGAAACTTTGGCTATTCTTGGTTTTTCACATATAAGACATAATTATTTTGGATATCACAATAAACTATGGTCTCTTGAACTGGAGGAGGAAGATTAGATGAAAGGCTAAGAACCACTGGTCTAGACGTTCTTCATGCAGAAGGGCAGAAGAATGGAAGAATCCGCTTATAGTTTTCAATAAACCGATAAGTCTGAGCTCCAGAAACTTTGGCTATTCTTGGTTTTTCACATATAAGACATAATTATTTTGGATATCACAATAAACTATGGTCTCTTGAACTGGAGGAGGAAGATTTCAGTCTCTTCTTTCTCATCATGTAAAAGGGAAGGTAGGTGTGTCTGTGGGTGCAAGAAACAAGCTAGAGAATAGCTCATTTTCTCTGAACCTGTGAGAAATCTGCAGCTAGACCTGGAATAAGCAAACTACAACAGAGGAGCTGGGCCCATCTGCCTTAATCTTGGAACTGCAGAGCTGGAATGGACCCTATGAATCATCAAGTCCAGCCCCTATCAAGGAGGCAAAGTGGGGAATTGAACTCCCAACCTCTGGCTTCGCAGCTAGATACCTAGACCACTGAGCTATCCATGTAAACTAGTTAAAGTATAATGCATTCGTGAAGGCTTTCACGGCTGGGATCTAATGGTTGTTGTGGGTTTTTCGGGCTCTTTGGCCGTGTTCTGAAGGTTGTTCTTCCTAATGTTTCGCCAGTCTCTGTGGGCGGCATCTTCAGAGGACACAAATGGAGGTTTCCAAATGTTAGGAAGAACAACCTTCAGAACACGGCCAAAAAGCCCGAAAAACCCACAACAACCATTAGTTGAAGTATCCTTTGATTTCTCTGCATCTACATTGCCTGCTGCCGAAACGAAACCATTTTCATTCTGAAACACTATGACGTGCTTTTGAAAAAATTCAAAGTTGGCTAAAGAGCCCTTTAACACACAGAGAGAGTGTGTTTGTGCGTGTACTGGATTCTTAACGCAGAATTCTCAAAGAAGTGTAAAAATGCAAAAGCCAACTTTTTATCCCCAACGGCAAAGAGCCTTTTTTTAGAAATTGGGGGGGAGGGGTGTTTTCGAAAACTGCCTTGCCACAGAACATATGAGCAGCTGTTGTTTAAAAAAGGGTGGGAGGTCTGTAGGGAAAATGTTAGCCCCTCAGTCTGCTGAACCAATGACAGTGGGTGGAGAAGGACTGCCGAGGTGGGATTTTCACTCACCCCTCCCCATCCTTTGTCCATCTAAGCAGCCTATTCACACCAGGGGAAAGTGAAACAAACATGGAGGATATATCAGGGGTCTCCTACCAACTCTCCTCATACTGAAGAAGCTGCTTAGATGCGTAGTGAAACATTTCAACCTAACAAGAAAGAAAGAAGCTGCTTAAATGAGTAGCGAAACATTTCAACCTAACAAGAAAGAAGTCCAGTTGAGCCATGACTCAACTTCCAGACCACCATACACATAAGTCAGTGCCACTAGCATCTCATTGTATCACAAAATTAAAGAACTGCAGACTCACTAAGTTCTCTTTGCCAAGGCAGGAAATCCACAGCTAAAGCAACCCTGACGGATGGCCATTCAACCTTTGCCTAAAACCTCCAATGACGGAGTGTCCACTATCCTCCGAGGGAAACCAAAGTAGAATAGATAATATTCTTTTCCTTCCCTTAATCTGGACACAATATTTCACTTGATGCTGCCTACAACTGCACTGGAGGGCCTGTTTCATTTTGGGTTTTTTGTTCTCCAATAGCTTAATATTTTCTTCTATATGATGAGGTATTCGCTCCTTGTGAGATACTATGTCAGTTTGTATATTCTTTGTAAAAAAAAAAAGCCCCAAACAAATCTGTACTATTATTTTTGTTGTTGTTTTCTCATGCTTTTCAATAAAGTTTTTTTAAAGCTACCTCTCCTAGTTTGGTGTCAATTGGAAATTTGATAAGTACACCCTCATTCAAGTCATTTACAAAAATGTTAAACAATCTTGGGCCCCACAACTGACGCTTCGAACACTTCATGTCACTTCTGGCCAGAATGATGAGGAGCCACTGGTGAACATTATTGGGATATGGCCTGCTGATGAGCTACAAAGCCACTGCAAAGCAGCACTCTCTGGCCCACCATCTACCAGCTTATCTACAAGAATGCCACTGGGGACTTTGTTAAAGGCCTTCTTTATTTTTGCCCTCATGACCTTTCTCCTGCAGACACTCCTTATTATTCTGTATGCTTCCTTAATGAATTGCTCTGCTTTCTTTCCATTTCCTCTCACTGGACTTCTTTATGATTGTATCTTCAACATATCACATTTAACCTCTAGTCATCATGAACAAACTTCTGTTTGAGTATTCAGGATGATGGCATTTCACCCAATACTTTCATAAGCTTACTGAAATCAGTTTTCTTTTTGTGAGGGTTTGCTGGCAATTGCTCTCTGATGATTTTTCATCATTCCAGAATCAACTGAAGAGAGCACTCTTTGGCCTCACTGAAATAGCTGGTGGTTTCAATGCTCATTCAAGGGTTGTGTCCCTCTCAGGACTCCCTCCCACCTGCCCCCTGCCGGCCCTGCTTCTGCTGAGGCATATTCTTCTGTTGACTGCTAAAGCTGCTGCAAAGACCAAGAGATGGTCAGCCAGCTAGAGTGTCATGCCCTTAAGTCTAGACTTGGGAATTGCCAGATGTGTTGACTATTAAGCCTGCTTTGGCAGTGGGATACATTTCCTCACTTCTCATGAAAATACCTTGGTTCTTAATATCAAAAGTGTGCTTCCTTCTGCTGGATAAACACTTCTTTGTTAAATTCATCTTATTACTTTGGGTTGCAAAAATTTCAGATGTCAACTCAAGCATGATCAAGAGAGCATATATATGTACTGGGGGGTTGAAGACACATATGCACATCTTCCACCATGTGCAGCACATAAAATACACACATCTTAGGGGAAAAACACTTAGGATTTCAAAGAGAAGAGTTGCTAATCACTGACAAGACTGGCCTAAACAGACAAATGGTCTGACTCAACACTGAGTATTTTTAATTCTTTTGAATTGCATTTAGCCATGGGACACTACAGTAAATACCAAAGACCACTGCAATAGAAAAAAGCCTAAAACAGAGACTAAAACTAACAAGACAGGACTAAGAATTTAAAACAAATATCTATAAACTGTTATTTTCTGTTAGTTGTTCACAGAAGAAAACAACTAAAATGGACATTAAAATGATTAAAGTACACAGGATGGAGTTAAAAGATGACTAAAACTAAAAGCAAGACTATAACTCTGGACATTTGGTTTTCACAGAAGAGTAACATCATTCTGACAAAAGGCTGATCATCTCATAGAAATTCTATTGTAACATCTTGTGGTGTCTTCTTGCGAAATAACAGAAGAAAGCTTGTTTGTCATATTATCATCTAGGTCTATCTTTTTAAAAAGTATATAGAATATAATGTACAACGTGTACAGCTTGACCCTAGGCATAAACAGAAATCCACTCTAGTTAGAAATACACCCAAATACAGTGGTGCCTCGCACAACGATTGCTTCATACAACGATGAATTCACACAGCGATGGGGTTTTTTGAGGAATTTCCCCCATCGTTTAACGATGTTCTCTATGGGGGAATTTCACTTAACGATGTCCCTTTTTGCTCATTTAAAAGTGTCTTAAAATGTTCGAAACCTGTTTTAAATGCTTGGATTCCATAGTGCACCTTGTGAAACATGTGCAAACTTAATTTGGTTTTGTTCTGAGTCTTCATTAATTTTTGGTGATTTTTTTATTTTCCCCATTTAAATCAATTGAATGGACAGTTCAATGCATTTAAATAGGGAAAACAAAAAATCACCAAAAATTAAGGACGACTCAGAACAACACCAAATTAAGTTTGCATAGAGTTCAGGAGGTGGGCTAACGATTGCAAGCATTTAAAACCTGTTCCAAACATTGTAAGACACTTAAAAATGAGCGAAAAGGGACATTGGAAAAGACTTCAAAAGCACTGAAACCGGCTTCAGTGCTTTTGAAGCTCTTCCGTTTTTGCTCATTTTTAAGGGTCTTACAATGTTTGGAACAGGTATTAAATGCTTGCAATCGTTAGCCCACCTCCTGAACCCTATGCAAACTTAATTTGGTGTTGTTCTGAGTCGTCCTTAATTTTTGG